TTACAGCAAATTATGAACGTGAGTTCAGGGACCTTAAAAAATCATTTTTAAGTGAAATCAAGGACTTAAGAAAAGAGGTAAGCAAACTGTCAGAACAAAACGTCTCGCTATCAAATCAATGTTCTGCTCTGGATGACAGACTTACATCAGTTTGAAGACAAGCTAAACGTAGATATGAGTCTGCCTACCAGCCAACCAACATGATGCCTAAATATTCCTGAGTCTGATAAAGCTGCTGGAAGGACCGTTTAGAGGATGACAGAAACAAGTTAGTTACAGCTTGCCTCCCAGTCTCAAGGCCACTGAACTCAAGTTACGTAGACTGGGTCGTCCTACACCTGGACGTACACGTCCCTTCGCATTGCCACCCGCTCAGCAGCCGATGCACTTGCCATTATCAAATACAGACCAACAGACGAAAACTCAGGTTTTAATTTGCGTCAAGAGCTTGATTCAATCGTGAAGAGTGGTGATGACAAGTAACACAATTAAATATATCCATGGTGTCCCTAGAATCGTTAAAAGAAATTTCCGTCGGCTCAATGAGCAAGAAGAAAGTATCTTACGTCCACCTGTGCTACCAGAACGTCAGAGGTCTGCGTACAAAACTCTCAACATTTCAAACAGCATTGGCGGCTAACCAGTACGACGTTGTATTATTTAGGAATCCTGGCTTCACTCATCTATAATGTGATGGTGGAAGTCATTGATTCAACAATATAGTATTTACCGTAAAGACCGTGTTTCTCTCATCAACGAGCAGGTAGGGTGGTGGTGGTGTCTTCATCGCCCTGTAACGTAGTCTCCATACAGAACAAATTGCAATAACAAACAACGATTTAGAGCAAATATTCATCCGTGTCAAGGGAGCTTCTCGCGATATGATCATCGGCTGCATCTACATACCTCCTCAATTAACTCTTGAGATCTTCGAGTGCCACATAGCTACCGTTTCATTTATAATGGACAAATACCAAAACTCCAACGTCATGATTGTCGGCGACTTCAATATCCTAGCAGCTTGCCTCGTGTCGAAGTGAAAAGCAACTTTATGATGGCTTTGCCTCATTAAACTGCACTCAACAAATTACATTCAAAATGCCTGGAACTCAACACTTGACCTTTGTTTCAGTGACATTGACTCTTCTCCGGAACACGCAGTTGCTCTTGTCCCGGAAGATAAGTACTATCCTGCTATCGACATCTTGCTAAATTTTCGGCCGGGGTTGACGCCAGATAATTCCTCATCATACGTATTTAAAAAGGCTAACTACGTAGCCCTTAATACCTCTCTCTTAAGAACGAACTGGATTGACCTCCTCTACAAACTCGAGACTATTGACAGTAAGTTGGACTTTCTCTATGATAAAATCTTTGAAGGTGTAAACCAGTTTGTTCCAGTACACGTACACAAGCCAAGTAACTATCCATATTGGTTCTCACATGATCTCATTCACAAAGTCAAACAGAAGAAATCTGCACACCTGATATATAAAATTCGGAAAACTAAGCCAAATTATTTACGATTCAGCAGGTTAAGATTGGAATGCAAAAAGTTAAGTATCGATTGCTACAAAAGTTATGTCGACAAGGTAGAGGACAAACTGCAATCGGAGATCAAAGCATTCTGGAATTTTATCAAGGACAAAAACCGTTGCACCGGTGACATACCATCTTCCGTAGCCTAGAATGACCGCTCAGCAGATACGGGGCCAGGTATCAGTAACCTCTTTGCGTCCTTCTTCCACAGCATCGACGTGCCATCGAATAGCAACGACCCAGGTATTGCAACCTTCAATCCTGGTACACAGCGCACACACTTGGATGCCCTGACAGTGACCTACGACGCAGTACTCAAAGAACTCCTTGCTCTCGACCCCAGCAAAGGTCCAGGCCCCGACGGTTTACCTAACATATTCATCAAAAACTGTGCGGTAGGCCTATGTGAGCCTTTGACACATATATTTGGCGAATCTCTTCACCATGGTACCTTCCCGACCTACTGGAAACTGTCATACATCTCACCGATTCATAAAGAGGGGCCCAAGACCTTGGTTACCAACTACCGTCCTATCTGCATACAGTCTGCACTTGCAAAACTATTTGAGAGGTTAGTGCTTCCAGATACGTCAGGCATTTGAAAACATCATACCAATTTGTTCATATACGTCGACAAACTGCTGAACTCCATGGATTCCGGCAACTGCACACACAGCATTTACACAGACTTCAGCAAGGCTTTCGACCGTGTTGACTACGAAATACTTTTAGATAAGCTAAGTAAATATGGTGTGGCTGGACGTGCATTAGCTTGGATACGTACATACCTCACAGGCAGACGCTTGCAAGTCAGAGTAGATGGCCACTTATCCAGTGAATATGAAGTAATCTCTGATGTGCCACAAGGATCTCACCTTGGTCCTGTACTATTTAACATCTTCGTCAACGACATTGGTAATAATTTTGCTTCTGATTTCCTTCTGTATGCTGATGACCTCAAAATATTTAGACCGATTACTTGTGAGACAGACATCATAATTTTGCAACAAGACATAAATATCCTCAGTGACTGGTGTCGAGTGAACAAGCTGGATCTCAACGTAAACAAATGTGCGGCCGTATCTTTCGCTCGCTCACACTCACCGATCCGCACGAGCTACAAACTTGATGGGCTTGAGATAGCGGAGGTCGAGAACATAAAAGACTTAGTTATCATTGTTGATAATAAGCTCACCTTCTCAGACCACACAGACAAAATTACATCAAAGGCGTTCAAAGACCTTGGATTTATACTCAGGAGTGGTAAAGATTTCAAAAACCCTTGGACACTCATTAGACTATTCAAGTCACTTGTACTACCAATTTTGGAATATGGTTCGGTAATCTGGTCTCCCTACACTAACACGACAATCGATAAAGTTGAAAAGGTGGAGCGTAAATTCTGTAAGTCACTGACCTATAAACTATCGTCACCAAGTCACATCTGCACTACTGATGAGGTCTACCAGTGCTACTGTATAAACAAACTGTCTTCTCGTCGACAGGTCGCTGACCTCTGCTTTTTCTACAAAGTAGTCAATAACATCACTGATGCTCCTGAGATCCTAAACAGTTTTGAACTCGCCCCTGCTGGTCTTACCCTGAGGCGAAATAGATTACTAAAAACATCGAAATCCAAGAAAAATTATGTTATCCATGGTCCTCAGAATAGACTGGCTAATTTAGTAAATTCACTTCAAGGTGAAATTGATTTCTATGGAGGAACATACGCTGCTTTTACCGAAAACACCAAGAGACACCTGCTCGTCTGAATTACATCTAAATCAAGTCTGAATTACATATTAACTTACAATTATTTAAATATTTTCCAGATATTACACTAATATACCCTAGCCACTTTTGTATAATACTTTAATTCTTTATTATATCTATGTATATTGCCGATTGGCGTTTAAATAAATAAATAAATAAAACAATTTTAAACTTTTGATTATGCCACTTCCCAGAATAGAAATTGAGAGCTACTAAAGGCATCGGGTTAAAGCTCTACAATACCGATTAGATGTGCCATCCACCGTGTTCAAAAACTACTTGCAGTAGCTATGTGTTATTATTATATTCTTTTGAAGTAATAAAATATTCAAGTAATTCTTATATGAATTTTGAACACATACTTATGTATTATTTGAAATATAATTTTTTTTATTTTGATATAAGAAGTATAATATGTCCGTCCCTTGAATTGCATTGACTTTTATCATAAAATATAAAAAGTATAATAGATTGTAAAATCGTGGGCAAAGAAAAAAGCCTTCGTTTGGGTCTTCTTCAGGAATAAAAGAATAACTGTGCAAATTTGGCTGTGGCTCGGATGTTGTGTGGGTACATAACGAAATAGCGTTTCATTTTTATATACATACAAATGTACATAAAAGGTTAGAAAACTCCATTACATTCCATTTTAATGACTTTTGTAAACAAAATTGCTTTCACCACTTGGAAAAAACAAACTTAAGACTACCAAAGAATGTAATATAATGCCAATTGCTTGATAAGCATTTTTAGTTTTTCTCACATTAGCTACACTTAATTAATGAAAACATTAATCGCTAAGGTGGTATTGTAAACATTAAATTTGAGTTACTTCAAAAATAAGGAATCAATTTGAAATCTAAACTTAAAACGAATGGTTTCTTTAATCGGTATGTTGGCCAAAACTATTTATTTTTATACCCTGAACAGGGTATATTAAGTTTGCGACGATGTTTGTAACACCCAGAAGGAAACGTCGGTGACTCTATAAAATAAGTATATAAATGATCAAGATGACAAGCTGAGTCGCTTTCGCCATGCCCATCTAGTCCCTCAGTTTTTGAGACATCGATCAGAAATTTTTCACACGTCCTTTTCTCCTCAAGAAGCCGCTCATTTATCGAAACGATATCGGACTACTATAGCGTATAGCTGTCATACCAGCTGAACTATCAAATTCAAGTACCCGTATGGAAAACATTTTTATTTGACAAGGTATTTTCACGAAATGTGGCAAAGATTTTTGTTCAAATTGTCGGATCACTACAGCATATAGCCATACAAACTGATCGATTCAAATCAAGATCTTGTAAAGAAAACTCGAACATGTAAAGGGAATTATAGCTTCGGCGCAACCGAAGTTAACGTGTTTTCTTTTCCTAAAGATTTTTATCATTTTTATACTATTGAACATGAGAATTAATATTACACAAATGCAACTCTAAAGCTGGTCTATAGTTAAAATAAAACAATGGCAGTTTGGTAAAGATTTAAACATAATTAATGCTTCTTCTTTGCTACATAGAAAAAAGTTAACAAGACATTCATAATCTCTTACGTTGAATAATTAAATAAAAAAATATTTCATTCATTGTATATATAGAGGCAAATATAAAAATATTTTTATAAAAAAAATCCGACGAAATCACTGTGATGAGCATTTCAAAAAGCTAAAAATTTGTATTTACCTTTAAGCCATCGCTTTCGTTTGGCAGCTCTAAAAACTTTTGCCTCAAAATCATATTTTTCTTGCATCAAAATTTCATGAAGTGTTGGCTTGTCTGATAACACAAAAGTAGTAGAGTTTGGATCTCTTTCCTGTAAATAATAAACAGTCACAGATAATTTGGGTTATTATGAAATTATAACAGGATTTATATTAATATTATTCCCAAAGTGGATAAGAAAATTTTGAAAAATTTTTATAACGGCGGCCGCTACGCATTGTTGCATATGAATGTTGCGTTTTTTTTTTCAAACATTAATATCTGATAATCGACGTGCACAAACCTGCAAAGCAAAGGCCAAATTACACTGTGAGTGTATTGAGTAAAGAAGCTTTGTTTGTGTATCCTATTCCTTAATTATCTATCTATTCCTTAATTATGCCAGAAAATAATTAATATTGAAAACCTTATAACACATTCAATATATAGTATGAAGTAATAGCAATATTAACAGATAAACATACTTACATTCAATATTACATCGGAAATTTGCTTAGTAGACTCCAAGTCTAGAGGATCATAATTACAGTAATTGCAAAGTTGTTTTAATGCCTCAACTTCTTTCTCCAACCAGATGTAAAGCTGATAGCGCAATTGACCACCATCAACTTCAAATCCAGTTGCTAATGTCGAAAGTTCTTCCATTAATATTTTTAAGCATGCTACAAATTTAAGTTGCTGTGCCATAATATCTATTTTCACATCCTTTGATGTCTCTAACTGGGTTTTTTGTGGAGCTTTTGTTATTGTAGGGGTTTTATTTTCAAAAGGCTCATCAACTTCCGTATCTTCGGGGGCGTCGGCATCATCATCGTCCCACTTTATCTCAAATGCGTCTTCTTTTTGTAAAACCGAAACTGGAGTGCTCCAATCCATATCACATTTTATGCCAGAATCAACCACTGGTTCACTCCAATCAATTATACCAGAAGTTATTTGGTCTTCCTTGTAAATTTTAGTATTAGTCTCTTCGATAATATTATTTGAATCCATAATTTTCATTGGCAATTTATTTAGCACTTCTAAAGCTAATGCCGGGCAACCAGCCTTAAAGTGTGCATGGGCTGTTGTAAAATAAAGTTGTCTCTCAATAGGTGTTATTGAATCTTCTAGTTGAAGTTGTTTATCATTTGATTTTGATTTTTGATTATCTCCAGAATAACTAAATCCTGATAATACTACATTTGCACATTTCTTCTCTTGTGCAGACAGTGCTAAGCTTTGCCGAACTAACAATGGATGTGTACGTAAAAATATGTAGAAGTTAAAAACATTAGGATTTGTTGCAGAATTTTCAGCTTTCAACATGTCTTCGTCTTTAAATGCGACATGATTCATACCAACTCCGTTTAACAAAAGTGTATGCAAACTATCTTGATATCTCTTTAAAATCCAATAAGTAATGGATCGAAGAAAAGGATCTGGGTGAGCTCTATTTATATCAAATACACTGTTATCATCGGAAATTCCAAGAACATGTTCTGAGAGTAAACTTCGATAAGTTGAGTTGCATGATATTTCAATGTCATCTTCGAATAACCTCGCTATTACTAAAGCCAGCTGGAAGTCTTCCAATTTATTTATGCAAACTTCTATGGCATCATTTAAAGAATTCGCAAGTAGGAAAAATGCAACTGCGTGCTCAAAACGTTGTTTTCCTAGAAGAACAAAAGCGTTCTTCAGGGCTGCTTTCCTCCACCGGTCTTCAGAAAAATTATTTGAAAAGAAAGCGGTCATTTTTTCGTCTCGCTTTGATCTAAAAAGACCCCAAACAATCGATTTCTTCTTCATAGCTAAATAAAATATAGCTGCATCTAATGGATCTTGTTTCATTTGATAAGCACTCTTTGCTAGTTTCTCAACGCAACAACGTAAAGTATTAACATTTTTCAACCAATATCCAACGCCGAGATCTTTCAGTGTAGACCACCTTAAATCTCCTTTTGAATAAGAAGGAATGAGATTTAGGAGCTCCTCTTCACTTTCAGAATGAAAAGCCCACACTATGTTTGAAGTTCCAATTCCTTGTTTTTGAAATAGTGCTCTTTGGTTTAGTGGTAAACAGCGTAGAAGATACGTAAAATGTTTCATAGCGAGTAGAAACCGAAGGCCACAATCATCTAAAGATTCTGATATTTTACACACATTTTTACCATGATCGGAAGAAAATGTTTCGCTGAAGTCGCTGTTGAAATTTGCAACGGTATCAGCTAGAGCTAATAAATGCATCTGGTCAAGAGAAGATAGTCCTGGTAAATGCGTATGAGTAAGCAGGCGCGATAACAACTGTCCTTGACGCGAACCGAAATGTGATATACTTAATTTTTCGGGCATAGATAACTTTCTTTCGAATTTACAATGTTCCCCTTCATTATCAAGAAGATCATCTAAATTGTCCTCCGAGTTGTTCATTTCAAAAAGTTCATTATAGTCTTTACCATTTTCCAAAGCGTTCATTCCCTGACCTGGAAATTCGTTATCCGCGTTTAGTAGGACCCAAAGCGGTAATGGAGGTATTGATGTGATTTCAGTATAGTCGAGCATCAATTCTTCTGGAACCTACAAAAATATTTTATCGTTAAAAAAATTATATAGAATATCGTTGCCAAATTTACTTAATAATAAAGCTCAATAGATTGGTAATGGGTAATGGTAACCTTTTATTTATATCTATTACAACCAAGTACCACGATATGCTTTATTCACGATATCCTGTTACTGATGGCTACGGCTGCATTATATATTATATTAAACCAAGGAACAGGTTGGCAAAATCGTCCGCTGAACCCAAAAGCAAAGGCAAACACCAAAGGTACAGAAGCCAAGACTGGCGCCAGGAAAGCAGCAGCACTGGTGGCAGCCCATACCAACCCCTGTAGCCAAGGCTTGGAGGCTAAGCAGGGGAAGGAGGGAGATGCCAAAAGTGATGCTGCCAGTAGTGGGTCAGCCAGAGAATTGCCTACCTTTAAGATTGACGACCCAGCGAAGACAAGGTATGCAGAGAAGCGACGCGCTGCATACCTGCTGAAGAAGCATACCTACTGCAACCGCCAACCAATGAGGAGCTCACAAAATAGCTCCAGGAATCCATTGATTGCGCGAGAGCTGTCTTACCTAACTTCAAGCTAGAAGCGCCGGTAGTGGCAGCTAAGAGACAAAGGTCAGCTGAAAAGGCTAAGCCGTCAGCTAAGAGACCGAAGACTAAGGGCGTGACAACCGCAAAATCTTTTGCTGATGTGGCCCGAACCGTATTGTCATTGGGGTGCTGGATGAGAATGACCCCGAAGGAAAAATCCCCAGAGACCAATGGAAGAGGGTGCAAGCCGCACTGACGAATGTGGCGTTGGAAGTGCTACTAAGCAATCCAGGTCCACCCCCGTCATGTACGGATGCCGGATGTTATCAGGGTCAGATAAAGGTGATTGCGTGTGACGACGAGGATCGGTCCAGCTATATAAGGCCGCAATAGCTAAGGTGGGGGAGGTCTACCCCGGAGCCAGGCTAGTAGCGGTAGACAAAAAAGATATCCCATCCCGACCGAGGGCAAGGGTATGGATCCCGGCTACACCATCGCAGCCAGACCAGATAATGCAGCTCATAAGAGCCTGTAACCCAAATTTGCCATCTGGGAGATGGAGATTCGTCAGGGCCTTCGATGACCCCGCAGCGAAATCTGGTGTGGAGACGAAACGAGCCACAATGCAAAGGAATCCGTAGAACCGCTAACGAAAAGTGTCGGAGAGATCAACTACGGATTCACAAAAGTGAAGGTTATGACCTACAAGTCAGACGCCAATGCAGGAGAAAACTTGGCGTCGGAATCGGAATGCGAAGTGGAGTCCTCGAGTGATGTAGAGAACACTGACCAAGGTGAGTGTACTTCGGGGTCTAAGCTTGCAGACAGACTCTCTAAACATTACACTGAGAGTGACCTTTTAAGCGACTCTCAAGAAGACGCAGAGAAGACACTAATTAATGCGTATTCTCCAAATTAATTTACACCATAGCAAACTAGCGTCTCTAGCCCTATTTAACCGCATGGCAGAAGAACGGCCTGACTTCGGCCTCATTCAGGAGCCAAGGGTTAATGGAACGCGTATTTGCGGTCTGAGGACACCGGGATATAATTTATACGCGAATGGTTGTGTAGGTAAGCCTAGGACATGTATATTGGCTAGCAAAAAGCTTAATGTCTTTTTATTACACAGTAGTAACGACACTACAGTAGTAAGCTGGGAGACGGCTGGCATCATGCTACAGCTGTTCAAAGAGCTGGTACGTGACACCGAAGCACCCAAGTGTTCGATTACACTTGGGTGCGGCTCCAATGCGCACCACACACTATGGGGAAGCCGGATATTAATGAAAGGGGTGATATGCTCTTTAATTATTTAATAGGAAGTAAGCTTTTGCTATGTAACAAAGGTAGTACGCCAACATTTATAACCAGAAACCGACAGGAAGTATTAGATATAACACTGGTATCGGAAGAACTGGTGGATAAAAAAACACATTGGAGGAACATTCCTTCTCAGATCACCGCTACATTGAGTGTATAATTGAAGAAAATGTAGTTAGGGAAGAGAAATTTAGGAATCATAGGAAAACGAACTGGCAGATGCACATGCAGGAGCTAAAAAAGCGTATTCCTATGATTCCACCATTTCAACCGGAAAAGAAGAGGACCTAGACATCCTCGTTAAACAATTCACAGATTCTTGTCATCAAGCACTAGAAGTAGCTTGTCCATTAACGTACAGTAGGGGAAGAATTAGACCCATACTTAAGAACATGCAGAAAAATTGCAGGAAGCAATTCAATTTTGCCAAATTATCCCAAAAAGATATAGAGTGGAATAACTATCATAACCACCTACGGACATACAAAAAGGAGGTAAGAAAAGCAAAAATGAAATTCGTGGAAATCTTTTTGTAATGACATCGAGAATACGGCAGAAGCGTCTCGACTGAGAAAGATAATGACACAGTCGAAACATAGTATCGGATACCTTCGGAAGCCAGATCACAGCTGGACGGTATCCAGTAAAGAGACTCTAGGCCTACTAATGGATACTCACTTCACAGACAGTTCCGAGAACCTCATAGGGGAACATATAATGGAGAGTGAAGTGGGCTGAGTCCCTTCCGCTAGACATAGTGTCAGATAGCAATGTTTATTGGGCAATAGGCAGCTTCAAGCCTTATAAAACGCCGGGACCAGACGGATTATTCCCGGCTAAGTTACAGCAGTCCCTGAGCTACACAATAAACTGGTTAACAACCATGCTTAAAGGGGCACTGCAATTAAACTATATTCCCTCGATATGGAGGGAAGTCAAGGTGATATATATACCAAAGGCTGGCAAAAGCTCACACATTAATCCAAAGGATTTTAGACCAATTAGTATTTCATCATTTCTTTTAAAAACACTGGAGAGACTAATAGAAATACATATAAGGGACAAACTAAACCCAGGAAAAATGGCAGTTTCGCAGCATGCGTACTCTAAGGGTAAATCCACAGAAACGGCATTAAGCTCAGTGGTAACAGAGATTGAAGTCTCTGGAAATAAAAGAATACACCCGCGTAGCCTTCCTAGACATAGAAGGTGCTTTCAACAACATCCAGCCGAAGGCCCTATTGAGCGCGCTTAAAGATCTGGACATCTCTGAGCCTCTCCGGAAATTAATTGAACAGATGCTTTTGGGCAGGTCAATTATTTCAACGTTGGGAGCTTCAACGATGCGCAGATCTGTCCGAAGGGGTACACCCCAAGGAGGCGTGTTATCCCCACTTCTCTCGATCCTGACAATGAATAAAATGCTTGCGGATCTAGAAAATAAGGGGGTACATGTTGTGGCCTACGCTGATGATGTGGCTGTTTCGGTTAGAGGCAAGTTCCCGGATACCCTCGCTGGCCTTATTCAGACAATATTTAACGATATTAACCGATGGGCCGTATCATGCGGACTGAATTTCAATGCTAGCAAGACAGAACTAGTATTGTTCACTAAGATGCACAGTACTCCAGAAATCACGCCGCCAATTTTAAATGGCACCAGGCTAACGATAGGAGATAAAGCAAGCTACTTGGGACTAGTTTTGGACATGAAGCTTTCTTGGAAACAAAACTTGGAAGCGAGGGTAAAGAAAGCAGCTACAGCGCTTTACACATGTAAAAGAATGGTGGGGCCCAGATGGGGACTGACGCCTCGGGTAGCTCACTGGCTGTACACAGCAATTGTAAGGCCGATCATGACTTACGGTATATTAGTATGGTGGCCAATTACAGAAAAGAAATATACGATTAGAAGCATGGAAAGTATACAAAGAGCAGCCAGTATTTGCATCAGTAGAGCTCTCAGAACTACGTCAAGCCAGGCACTCAACGTAATTTTACACTTACTGTCAACAGATCTGTTTTGCAAGCAAATGGCAGCGAAAGTTAGCTCTGAGACAGGTGGAATTCTCCCTACTAGTCGCCAGTAACAAGGGGCATTCTATGATACTTAGGAAGTTCCCGTTTCTTCCCATAACCACGGTGTTTTCTCGGCTAAACTAGATACCAAAATCGCCTCCCGGTTACCAGACCACTGCAGTCTTTTAAGCGGAGGTCACTGCAATTAAAGAAAACCTTCTTGTACTAACAAGAAGTGTGATCACAGCAAGAAATATATTTATATATACAGACAGCCAGGCGGCTTTGAAATCTCTGATGTCTCATAGGATTTCGTCGAAGACAGTGAAAGAATGCCATGATCTTCTAGCGGATCTGTCATCCAATTTCATGGTAAATCTACAATGGGTCCCAGAACACAGTGACATCCCCGGGAACTGTGTAGCAGATGAACTACCCAGAACAGGCACCACCCTACAACTAGATCCTGGTAAGGAGGACATAAATATGCCTCTGGCTACTTGTAGATACTTAATCGACAAACATGTCATTAACATAGCCGAGTGTCAGTGGAATCAATCCTTGACCTGCTCAACTAGCAGGCAAACGTGGCATGAATGGAATATGAGCCGCACATGCCAACTGTTAAAATTCAAGTGGAAAGATATAAGAACTCTAGTAGGAGTACTAACAGGCCACTGTCTAATAGGCAGACATGCAAGTAGACTTGGCACGCCATATAACGACTATTGTAAAAGCTGTCAGGAAGTAGAAGAGGAGGATACCATTAAACATCTTCTATGCGATTGCGCAACACTATATAGGAAAAGAATCGCAGCCATCGGTCGTGGGTTTCTTGACGACGTCTCGGAGGTTGCACGGATAAAACTTGTTTCACTGATGAAGTTCATCAGAAGTGCGAGGTGGTTCAGAGAGGAGCCAATAGAGTGAGGGGACCACAGTCCCAGTGGAAACACAATGGGCCTCCTAAAGGCCTAGGTGTGTCGAATGACAGCCACTTTACCTACCTACCTACCTAAACCAAGGAACATATGTATGTACCAAGTTTCAACAGGATATCTCAAGTTATCGGACGGACAGAGAGTCTCTCGGATTTTAACTCTTCTCGTCATCCTGATCAATGATATATGTATGTATATATAACCCTATACTTATCTCAATTAGTTTTAGGTTCTAAAAACAACCGTTAGGTGAATAAAACTATTATACTCTCTAGCAACATATAATTCAACGATGAGAATACAATTTAATTTAAATGTACTAAAACATAACTATTTTCAATTTCAATGATCTTCATTGTCCTTCCGTTATGTTTCATTTTACGAATTCTTGCACAAAAGTACTTATCACAAAAGTGCTTACCTTCGCTATATACAGGGTGTCTCACGAATCGTGCTACAAAAACAAACCGTAATAACTTTTTATTTAATCAATGCATTACATTTATTTATTTTTTTTATTGTATAGAAAATTTTATTTTATTTTATATAATTAAATATTTAAAAAAATTATGTACCGTAAATGACCTCCATGCTCAGCCACATGTGACAACACCTACGTAATTAGAAAATTATTCATTCATTGCGGCCTGAAGGGTTGAAGTCGGGATTGCCTCAATTATCGATATAATGGACTGCTTCAGTTCAGTCAGATTTCTGAGTTTTGTTTTGTACAGCTCTTGCTTGACATAACCCCGTAAAAAAAGTCTAGTGTAGTCAGGTCAGGAGGCCTTGGGGGTCAGCGGAAAGTGGAGTTTCTCCATATTAATTTGTTTTAAAATTTTCGTTGGAGCTCCGCAATGACCGGACTGGCTATGTGTACAGTTCCTCGATCTTGCCGAAACCAAACGCTATTGAAACGAATACGGCTTCAACGCAGTTAGGGTAAAAAAAAACTCATTCCATATATTTAAATAACGGTGCCCATTGACACTGTTACACCGTTTTCTTCAAAGAAGTATGGCCCGACCGTACACCTTGATGAAACTGAGCACCACACAGTGGCTCGTTCTGTGTAAACGAGGCAATTTATCAAGATATTGTCTTCTTCGGCCATTTTAATCATTTTCTGTAAAAATTCCTGGCGAAAAGGCAAATCTATAGAGTTGTGAGTCAAAACTCTTGGATTTGAATGAATTGACGATGCAACAGCCGCGATTGTTTCTTGAACACGAACATACGGATTTCAAATATGGAAATGACGGACTGCAAAGCATAGTACCGCTGCCCTTTACACACCGTCTTTCCGGTATCCCAAGCAATCATTTTTAAAGAAAACTTAATTAATAACCTGCCAAATAAAAACAAAAGTAGGTCGATTACTCGCACAGAACAAAAGTTATAACGGTTTGTTTTTGTAGCACGATTCGTGAGCCACGATTTATAATATAAAAACATGTAGTAGTCTTTGTTGTTCTTTTTAAATCGACAGAAAAATTTTTGTTGATAATTTGAAAGAATACTGCCAAAATGACAGTCCCCGGCCGAATAAATCCGGGTCCGTTCTGGTTACGTAGAATCGACTGTCGTGGGGGTTATTTTCCGTAGTAATTGTTGACCTCGGTAGTAAACCGGAAACTGAAAACTAGTATACATAAATAATAGTGATAGTCATCTTAAACTACTCAGTATAAATATTATTAGTAAAATAAAAAATAAAAAGTTTGTGTAAAGCTTTATTAATGTATACTCAAGTCTCATTTCTTTGAACCCAACTTGACAAAACTGAGTTTTTTATTGCACACTCTCTCGTTAAGAAAACTCCACAAAGCTCAGAAATAATATTTGTAAGACCCAATTTTATATAAGGTTACGTTTTCTCCACAAATCATGAGTATTTTTTTTACGAAGATATTTTGTTAAATAATCTTATTAAGACTGATATTAAGTGTTGGCGCCTCCGTCTATACAAATTTTTTAAAAGCAAATGCTATTTCTGGTGAGAAGGTGTGAATTTTTCTTTGCAATTTTTGCAAAAGTAATAAGTACTCGACGTACCAACATGTATTAATTTCTGTACTCTAGGGATCGTCCAGTTTGACTAACAAAAATTAATTGAAGTTAAATAAATTAAATGTCAAGAAGACACGTAAAAGCACGTTCGATATAAAAAATAATATGAATAATGAGCAACTACCATAATCACCTGCGTTGTTGAACCCCTGTGTTCAGTTGATACGTTCGTTTCTCCAACGTAACTGATAGATAAAGTTCGAGATCGAGACCATGCCCTCTGCAACGAGAATAAAAGGAAAATTTAGCAAACGCAAGAAATATTGAACTAAAAGGCGGCACAACCGACTTGATTCCACGTTTATATTGTTTGCAAGTCACTTCTGATAAGTTACATGTCCGAATAATAAAGCATGATCAAAACCAGCCTTCTTTAATACAAACGAGGAAAGATTGCATTCGAATCATCTTTAGAAACTTTGGTAATATTGATCATTTCAATGTCTACCCCATAAGCATTTTAAAAAGTTGTCAAAGACAAAAGACATTGAAAGAACATCCAGAGTATTAGAATGCACCTTGCACCCATATGTATTTTTCCATATTAAATATTTAATATAATATATCACATATCGTATTTTACATACATATGTATATATCCTATGCATCATTTATATATACAATTAAAAACTTACATACGTACATACAGTGCTTACGGAAAATTGCGCCATTACCTGCTATTGTCAATTTCTCTCTCTTTGTATTACATACAGTATACAATCAGCTTATACTTATATACCCTATATATATGTACATAGGGTACAACTTTAAGAAAACCAATCGAAACATTTCGCGAAAATACGGTTCGGTAAATAAAACGCGGATTATTTAATATAAATCATACTACATTATATAAAAAATACAAAATTTTGAACAATATACATACAAATAGGTTCAAACTAAATTTATATTTTATATTCAAAGTCCACTTTGGCATATATCCCGCAATACCCCTTGCAGCAAGCAAGCAGGATTGCGTACAAAACTTTTCAGCACAAATAATTCGTGCTTACTCGTACATAGGTACAAAGTGCATTGATCTCTTCAAGGAGCTCTCAATTTATTGTGTACCTACATACCCCTAAATAAAGACATCAAAAAAAATGGAATAAATAACAACTGTCAATAAATTGGATAAATATAATTAAATTAAAAATAAATACGAACCGGTATCAATGACAACTAAATCCGGGTATTTCAGTTATTTATTTCAAATTAAGAAAATTAATATTAATTTTGTTCAAGGAGAAAAACTCTATCCACTAAAAAGCTTTCGTTCACACATTTTTATACGAATTATGCATCAGTCGACACTGAGGAATTTTTAATTTAGTTCATACAATTTCTAAATGAGCTCAGACTCAAAAGAGAACAACAGTATCTAAAAGTACCAAAAATGATTGCGGACGAAAAAAGTCCATGCACACCAGCAGAAGCTACACACTCCAAGCAAGGTGCTACAAAACAAAAAAGGGGTAGAGACAGTTCTTACACAAAATTCATTTGGGAAAGTGACAGTTTAATAAGATACTGCACTAGATTCTCATCTTCGCCGATTCAGGACAATTCTGAATCGGTATTAGAAATCAAAAAAGACAACATTTACAATTTTTGGTCACGTCCTTCAGGGACATGTTTACAGCCGTTTACATCAACCACCCGAAATTATCAAATGCTCAAAAATTTTATCACCTCCGATACAAAACAAAAGGTCAAGCAGGCGTAATAGTAAAACAGTTAATGTTAATGACGATACTTTCAATTTGCCTTGGGAAGCTCTTAAATCTAGAAATGAAAATGAAAGAATAAGAAGAAAAGGTCGATAAGCAAGTAACGATACTAATGAATTTGCCTAAGATTCAAAAGGAAACAAGTGAAGAGTTTATAAAACTGCAATCCACTGTTTCTAATTGCTTGTCGGTTTTATCGACACAAAATATTCCCACAGACAGCTGGGACCCAATACTGGTAAATATAAGCACCGCCGCTTTACCAGAAAAATCGTTACTTTTGTGGGAGCAATCGCTCTCATCTCGACGTGGCAACAGATGAAAGACTTTTTAATAACCCAATACGAAATCGCAGAAAGGGTAGATAAAAAAAATGGTCAGAACGAAAACCGTTCAACACGACCTAAATAGAAGCTTCCACAGACCCCAAGCCAGTAGCAACAACAATTTAAATAGAAGCTTCTTTAGAAATCAAACTCTCACATCCGAACACTCCCCACTGCTCTGGATAATGGTGGTTAACGACCTACTTATAGAATTCGAGACGCAAGGCTGTCGGGTGACAGCATACGCTGATGATGTGGTTCTTATGGTTAAGGGAAAGTTCCTGAATACTGTCTAGGAGCTCACCGAGGGGTACCTGAACGTGGTATCTAGGTGGGCGAATAGAAGCGGCCTAGCCGTCAACCCAAGTAAAACCGAAATGATTCTATTCACCAGGAGGTATAAGATACCAAATGTGCCTCTCCCCTCCTTCGGGGGTTCACTTTTTCAACCTACTGAGAAAGTGAAATACCTAGGGCTCATCCTCGATAGAAAACTTTCCTGGAGGCCAAATATTGAGGAGAGAGTTAAGAAGGCTTCGGTCGCCTTATGCAAAGCTGCTGCAAAGGGGCAAGGTGGGGACTCTCACCTAAGGTGGTGTTCTGGCTCTACGAAACCGTGTTAAGCCAATAATGTTCTTATGGTGTGTTCGTCTGGTGGAGGGCGCTCGAAAGGTCCACAATGGCTAAAAAGCTTGAAAGGATCCAAAGAGCGGCGCTCATCGGAATCTCCGGTGCACTGCGAACCACACCGACACTAGCTCTTAATGCTATTCTAAACATAGCACCTGTGGACATTGCCGGTAGGTGCATTGCCGCGAAGTGTGCTCTAAGGCTTAGGGAAGCTGGGCTTTAGAAGAGGTCCGAACAAGGGCACTCCGAAATTCTTTCCTCCTTCAGCGGCATCCCGGAAAATATAGATCACTGCGTCACTGAAGCCACTCGAGGCGGTTCCTTCTCCGCTCGTATTCCAACGGGGGACATGTGGATGGGAAGAAGCCGCTGGAGAAGAGGCGCGGTGAGCTTTTTCACGGATGGATCGAGGGTAGGGGGGAAGGTTAGAGGGGGGGTTTTCTGCAAGGAGCTCTCCGTCAGTCTTAGCTTCAGGCTACCGAATCACTCGTGTTTTTCAGGCGGAAGGTGCTGCTATCAAGGTGGCGGTAGAAGTACTGCTGCGTAGTGCCGCCTCGTTTGTAGAAGTGAATATCCACTCTGATAGTAGGGCGGCAATACTAGCTTTGAGCGCGCGTACCGTGCAATCAAAGCTAGTCAAGGAGTGTCTGTCCTCTTTAGAGATAGCGTCTGGCTATTTCAACATCAGGCTCGTCTGGGTGCCTGGTCACAGCGGAATCGCTGGAAACTGCAAAGCCGATGAGCTAGCCAGGGGGGGCACCTTTGCCCCGCTCACATCGGAATGGGATCGGGTTGGATCTCCGTTAGCGTCTTGCGCTCTAATGTTGGATCAATGGACCTCGCGTGCACTCAGCAGACGCTGGTCGGCGACTAGTTCCTGTGTGACCGCGAGATCCTTCTGGCCAAGAGTGGATCGCAGGAGGTCGGGGGAACTTCTCGCCCTGAGCAAAGTGCATCTCGCCGCTATGGTAGGAGTTCTCACTGGACACTGTCCAATGGGCACTCATGCGGTACGGCTTGGTGTATTACCCGATGCTAGTTGCCAAAGTTGCATGGAAGAGGGCGAGGTGGAATCATCCCGGCACTTTCTCCTCCAATGTCCGGCTTTCGTTAGGCTGCGATTGAAATATCTCGGCAATCACACGTTTGGCGGACCCGAATACTTATCCTAAATAGATATTGGCCGTCTTAACAAGTTTGTAGTCAGCACAATGCGTCTCGTCGACTTGTAAGGGTCTTTTGATCCAGATTATAGGAGTTTGTAGGTATCACAACGGACCGGCGTCTTAAGCTGTCCAAGTGGGATCCCTTCTGGAATCGACCTCCTAACCATTTCAATATGAGTTCACCAAATCGAAGTGCATCTGATTTAATCAACACATATATAAATCGTGAAATGAGGTATGATACTGTCGAATTCTTCCACTACTATCGACAGTGAACATGGGCTTCAAGATCCATGTGCCGACACTTTCTCAAAACAGTTGTTTATATATTGGCAATGAAAAATTACATGAAAATATTGGATATATATAATTACCGACAGAATTCTACACAATCATCAATTAACAAAATACTCTCATCGGAAATATACTTTCCGATGTACATACAAAATATAACATTGGCTGGCAGAAAGATTGATTTTGGCATCAAAAAATGTGGACGTCAATGAATTAAATTCAAAGATATAACAGTTGTTGCCAGGACCACGGCAATGGCCCAATATTAGTTATTAAAAAATTAAAGAAGCCACCATTTTGAATAGCAAGTTTCGAGTCGAAAATGTAGTTAGTTATTTTTAAAAGTATTTCCTAAAAATATCGTATATGGCAATACAACATTTGCTGGGTCAGCTAGTAATATTTATAAATGTGAGTCAAAAAGATGTCAAGCAGAATCATCGCAAAGCGATTTGATTTTGGTAGCAAAATATATAAAATACATAAAGAAATACGAAAATGCTTACCGTATGTTTGTTTTTGTTAAATATTTTATTTTATTCAGAATTTATTTAATTTTTATCATTTAAATGACAACAACTAACAAGTACATTTGTTGACAAAAACAATGATGTTGAAGTACATTGACAAATATTTTACAGTAGTACAGTACAGCAGTTGAATCGTGAGTAAGTTATCATGGATCTTCTACCGAGTTTAACTTAGGAATGAAAAACATCTTAAATTTAAGGTTATAGAGTTTTCACTAGATGTCTTTATTTTGGCGCTCGCCTACACATTTGCAGTTCTTAAGCCGACTACTCGTAAAGCAACCAATCGCTTTTGTTTTCACAAAGTGAAGTCCTTTGTATATTATTTCTTCAAGAATTGAAAAAAACAGAGTTTGTTGATTGACAATTAAAGCAAAACGCAAATCGTTCAACCAATAAATCAAGAAAGCAACAAAAACTCAAGGTAGAGTAAAGAAGAAGCATAGTAGAAACAAAGGTACGGAGGTTTTTATGTGTGTGTTTTTATCCAAATTAATCATAAAAAAACAAGACGTTTATCCTCAAAAAACTATGTTTAAAAAATTATTCAAATAAACAATTTTATTAAATTAGTATAGATGGAACCACGCCCACCCCCACTAAAAGCTCGATAACTTACTAAATAAATTCACCCGAAGAATAAGCCTTCATAGCCAAGATGATGCTTAATAGAAACCGGTGTGGAAATTGGATAAGGGGCTAGGCACAGCCGCCCTTTAGGTGAACTCCTACATATATCTCAGGAACTATTTGACCAATTTTAACCGAATTTGGAGCATAGCATTATCCTGATATTTTTATGTTACACTGTGTTTAAATAAGCTAAGCCTCAGTAACTAAACACACCACTTTACTCGGCAAAAGCTGGCGCACCCTACTAATACACACCACACCTAAGAACACAACCACACTCAGCAAGATGTCACCACACGACGACAACGAAAAGCTATGATTTCTGATCAATTAAAGCTAATAAATGCAATTGTACCTACTCCATATCCGAGAGTAGAGCTGCCACAAATACAAAATCAAGAGGCAAGTTCAGGCATCCACCTCGAGGTGCCCGCATGTGACACAGAAATATTTCATGGAGGTTATTAAGAATGGCCGTCACAGAAGTCGTCTCCATCGAACACCGAGGAGAACTTTTTAAACTTAGGGCCTTAATAGACCAAGGATCACAACGATTCTTCATAGCTCAACTTTGGAAATTACAGGAATGGGCGGAAGAGTGGTTCAAAACTCAAATAAAATCTGCCCCATTACGCTAATTTCGCCCCAATCGGATAAGCACATTCAAGCAGAAGATATAGTTTTACCGCAACTTACAAATATGCTTTCAAGCTATCATACAAATAGCAAGCATTGGCAAAAGGTTTCACACCTGAATCTAGCAGATCCCAACTGCAATACCCCCGCTCAAATAGATATAATAGTAGGCAGCGACCTTATACCGCAAATAATGCTTGAAGGTATTGAGAAAATTTCAAACACCCTTCTAGCCCAAAACTCTATATTTGGTTGGATTATAAGTGGACATATTACAGAACCAGTTTCCACATCAACAACTCAAGTTGACGAATACTCTAAAGAATACTTTCATTCACAACTAAGGAAATTTCGGGAGTTAGAAAAACGCCCCCTCATATCAATTACAACCCCAAAAGATCAGTATTGCGAAGACTTCCACAAAGCCACAACTACTCGATCAAATAATGGCCGGTACGTCGTACGACTACCACTAAAGCCACAACTTTCCAACACTCCACAAATTGCCACAAAAGACCAAGTTATAGCTTCTTCTGACAACCCCAGTGTTAAAAACACAAATATATATAATTCAACCAAATCATCCCGATATATTACTAAATATTCCAAAAGAAAATTTTTTGTACTCTAATTTCCTTAAACTCGAAAATGGCAGTACAACAAAAATGGATGGCTTTTGCCAATTATGATACAAGCGAAAATCTTAATCCTTCTTCACTTAGAAAAATGGTCACAATCCTCAAACAATCTTAGCGATATCCGAATCTACCGATTCTTGGCCACAATCGCCCACTTTCATACATATTATCGTCCGCAACATAAGAGTAATTGTCCTAGGAAGTCCAAAAATAGAAACCTCTCTTACTATAGTGCCTCATAATGCCTAAATTTTCATAATCAAATACAATTCAAAATTAAATTTAAGGGATCACCATACTTCCAATGTGATACAGCGCTCATGATATGGGTAGGTTATGGGAAACACTTGTGAAAGTTGCAAATCTCGCTTCAAAAAATCACAAATCTCACTCTCGCAAGATCCCTCTTCATAGGTTTCAAAGGAGCACCCATTCTGGCCATATCTGAGCCAGGCGTGGAGTCGCTAACCGTAATAAACCGATGGTAAAGAAATTTTAAACAAACAATACAAATAATAAAATTATAAAAGAAACAACCGCAAATACCATAAGTACGAAATGCAAATATAACCTCAAAACCCGCAAAATGAAGTTACATATCTTTTGCACGCACAGCAAAATGCATAAATAAATATGAATATAACTCTATCACAATGTATGCCGCGCCCTCCGCTACTCAACCAGCAGCACGCCGAAATACATGCAATATAAGCATATACGTGTTATACTAGGCAAAATATTCGCCTAGGGGGCCCAGGATGTTTAAATGAGATAAGCCACCCCTACATATACACACCACTCTACTCGGGTAAAACTGGCACACCCTAATAAAACACACCACACTGCACTCAACATTGGGAACACTACACATGATGACACCAACACACTCAATCCCTGAGTACAACATGCACGAAGCCACCTAGCAAAAAGGACGGGAACATCGCTAAATCATCATTCGCTATATACAATTGGACAGCGCAATCATTTCGCGGCACCACTCCACGCATCTTTAACATTCGTTTTGTTTACGGGCCTGAGCGCCAGATGAACTTCTCGATACGAAAGCGATCCTGCGCGCAACACCCAATCGATTCGTCAACTGTTCTACACATTTATTTTTGGACAACACCGACCGATAATATATAAGCTTAAATTTAAGGAATTTTATTGTGCAATATTTAATAATAAAATTCGGATAGTAATCTAAATTGCGCATTTTGATTACTTATAATTATACAAGTGATAGTGCTGCTAAAGTAGGATGTGACCCTAATTTATTAATTATATAAATTTGTTCATATATATAAATTTTGAAAATTATTTTTTCAGCCAATTTATTTAGTCAAGAAATATTTTTTAGATCGAACAAAAAAAAATTACTTTCTCACTCTATTTTCAATACAAACAAATCATCAATCAAAGTTGATTGTTTTATCATATACCCGTACATTCTTTTAACCTCAAATTTGCTTCCAATAGCTTCCAATAGCCAAGTAAATCAGTTTAAATAGTCTTATAATTGACATTAAAGAATTCTAAATATATGTAGATTTGAAATGAAAATTATACCATGACAACTCTTGAATAATATAATAATTAGTTGATTACCTGTTTCTCAGAACTTCCATCGTCTGAAGTTGATGTATATTCATTCGATCCACTCATACAACGGACTAAATGGGCTAATATTGCCTTAACCCAATTAATTTTACCAGAGTTAAGGAGTTCCATTAGTTGCTTTGGGTGATATTGAGGAAGTACCGGGCATGCGATGCGAGAAGCTTGAAACAATCCAAAGTCAGGCATATAATCATCATTTGTTGATTCGCAACCTGCTGGAACGCTTGCGCTTGAATTTCCATACCTTTTACGTCTTTCATTGGAAAGTAACTGGAGGTTAGCAGTGCTCACTTTACTTATTAATGGTATGGATGATGCAGTTTTTAATCGTATTTGCGTAGATTCGTTAGCCAAAGATCTTAAATCTTCATCACGTAGATTTCTTGAATCGAAAAAATCCTCCACGCTATGCTGTTCGCTAAAACGAGGCTTCCATTGTGAGTACACATGCATTTCAGAATCCATTGCTACTACCAATATTCCATCCCGAACCCATGAAATTTGCATAGGTAGTGGCGGTAAACCATCTGCGGTATGCAAATCAATTTGACGAAGTTTCATCCAACGAATTTCGTCATTAAAATGTGGCTGAGCTAAGGAGCTAGCTTTTCGCAATATAGGTCGATTTGCTGACCTTGATACTTTCATAGCTTTAATATTGGCCTGGGCAATGTCAGACGAAACCGCAGTATACAAAAGTATTTTACTCCCTACAGCCACTGTTAATATATGGGAACCGTCTTCTTTTGACACCCAATCCAACTGAACAAGATGTTTTTGAGTTAATGGACAAGTATTTCCATTTTCAGCGATGCTTTTCCTTAGCGATTGTAAGGTACTAAAACTGGGTACCGCTAATAGACCAGATGTAGAAGATGTTTTTGTTGTAAGCTCAGGGGTTGTATCGCCACTTCGTGGAGATCTACCGTCTTCTTGCGTAAATGTTTGAAAAACTTGATTAAGACGTTGCTTTTTTTGCAATAATCGGTTATCATGTAAATAGCTAAGATCAATCCCATGATCAATATTCATCCGAGGCAAATGTACATTTTTTAAGTGAATCGTATCTTCTAGTACCCATTCGCTTCCACCAGAACTTTCACATTCATAAATCGCTACACAAAGGTTTATATACCTAGAGTCTGGATCACCTTTATTTGGTCGTGTAAAGCTTTTTCCATATTTATAAGCACAAGCAACTCTACCCGAATAAGCAGCACTAATATTCAAAGGCTGACCAGGAATTTCTATTGCAGAATCTTGTATTCTACTGAACATTTTCCATTCTACCCATTTATATGTCTTTACGGATAGATCATCGACCGAACTTGTTTCACATTTCCAAAAACGAGAAATTGAATCTGAACATGCTGTGACTATTATATAAGGAGCATAACAAGCTGGGTAAATTGATGACGAGCTTAAATGGCCAGCAGCTGGTGAAGCGTGAACGACATCAACACCTTCCGGCATTGGTAGCTCCTGTGTGCAGACTTTTTCTGTTTTTATAGTCATATGTGAAGTGTCATTACCTGGATCGTCACAATTATTTAGTAATATATTAGCAACCGACATCCTGCGGGCGGCTAAATCTGAGTCGTCGATGTCTTGAACAATGTTGCTATCAGGAACATACATTGCTGTATCAGATAGAAAAGTTTTTTGCTCTTTTGATGAAATAATAATGCGCCACATATGAATTGTACTGCCTTTTATAGTTTTTTCAATTATAACAATATAAAATGGCTCCTTAAATTCATAATTTTGTTGTAAATCAACGATTGCATCTAAATCAGGTTCCATTCGGTGCCCCCCATCTATTAACTGAGCTTGAAATACATGTAAAAATTGCGTATTCTGCCAGTCGTGTTTAGCTTCAGATATCGGGTCAAGTTGAATTATACATCCAGGACGTGCGGTGGACTGCTGTGATACCACTTTTAATTTTTCATGAATATTTGTTTTTCGAGTTTTAAATGTTGACGACGCATTCGAATAAATTGATGTCATTGAATTGGACTTATAAAGGTAATTGACATTTTCTGATGAAGATATCTCTGCAAGTAACGTTCGAGCATCAATTACTGCTTGATAAACACGTAGATTCTCTCCATCACTGGCAACAAAACAAGCTGATGGTGAATTACTGCTGCTTCCCAAAGTTGTACTTGGAAGTAAAGTAGGAATCCATGCTACATTGCTAAATGCTGAGATTTCAGGTGAATTGATACGTGCCAATTCACTTACTCCCCCTGAATAACAAAGTGGACCCACAGAATCAACTCTCCACAATATTAGTTCAGAACAGAATCCAGAAGGTGTAAAAACGTCTTTATTGTAAGGAAGATTTTCAGCATTGCTGGTCGATTTCTTCTCTGATTCAGGTAAGTTGTGATGGGATGTTGATACAAGAAGTGGCAAAACCGGATGGCATGTTATGTCATTGACTCTAAAACGATGACCAGAAGCTCTGCAAACATGCCCTATGCTGAGCACTTGGGTGAACTTAGTTTTAAGCGCAAAAGTTAGTTGCCACAGATTTAATGTTCCATTGGAATGTTTTGTTACCATTGAAACAGAAGGTGAAATACCACTAGTTATAGTGTTAAAAGCCTGCTCGCTTATGTCGGGGTTGCTCACCTTATTCAAAGGCGAAGAGCTTGGTGACTCTTTAAGTGATGTTGTTTCCTCACTTCTACTTTTCACGCTATTTGCGATTTCCCTAAAAATTAGCGGCGGAGATCCCGTATTATATAAACTCACTGTTGTTGACATAGATATTGCATCTCCAAGAGGAAATGCAAAGGGTATTCTAGTGGAAAACGAAATTTGTGCTTGGCGAAAAGATCCAGGATAGTAATCGTCCAACCAATCAACTACCCATATAAGATAACTTCCATCAATGGGATGAATAGCAAATACAAGATCGGGACTTTGATGCCAATCTCTTAATAAACATTCAATTTTCAAATCCAAAGAGTCGGCAAACTGATTAATGGTGTGGTTATTTTCGTTATTTAAAGAATTTAGGGATGCTGTATTTGACATTGAATTTGCATTTTGTAAAATTCCGATTTTATTATGGTGCGGCAAATTCTTGCAGTCCTCTGAATTACTATCCTCTGCAGACAATGATTTCGACAAAGCTCGGAAAATTTTCTTTTTAGATTCGTCAGCAACATCTGGTTCATTATGTTCTGAAACATTATTAGTGGACACATTTGGACTCTCTTCATCAATTATTTTTTTCGTTAACTCTTGCAATATGACCTCAGCTTGTAAAGAAAAATTTATTTCCTTGTTATTAAGCCAGTGTAAAATAAAGCTGTTTTGGTTAGAACTATCCGAAGAATGCATTGAAGGAACCAGTGGAATATCCGTCTCTGCGTTGATTGAAGCGGCCAAATGAAAATGCATACCGGGAGCCATTCCTGTTCCATGAAATCCATATGAATGAAAGTCATGGACACTACAAGAAGAAGGTAAGGATGGTATAGGTCCATGAAAAGTATCAGTATTTGGTTGGTAATTAACCATTCCAGTCTCAGTCTTGACATGCCTTCTTATATGAAAACAAGTTTTCATATGTTTTAATCGTTGCATAAAACGATGCTTATGGCGTTGTGTTCTGAATTTCGGGTTTTGTGAAGCCAATGGATCAAACTGTGTCATATTAATTAGACCATCATCTGGCAACACAGTTTCTATCCAAATGCGACATATGTTATCAAGACAAGATGTTACAATCATGTTGGATACTGCTCCCTTCGGCATGTATTTGCTTGTTTTGCGCCATGCAATGTTTGTTACTGCTCTAGGATGCGCAATATAGACGTAGGTAAAGTTTAGTTCTGCATCATTTCCAACAGTTTTGATGCCATGTTTTGAGGGAAAGAGAACTACAAAAATTTGTCAACCCAAAGTGTGTACTACAGGTTAAAAATTAAAAATTATATTTGCTACCTTTTCTTACCTTGCTTATTTTCATACCAAATTTTTACAAGTCTGTCATTTCGACCACATGTAGCAAATAAAGTGCCATCAGGACTAAATGCCATATGATAAATTGGAATAGCAGTTTGACATGACCATACAGTGTCCCAAGTTACAACATCATCTAAGCTCTCATTGGTAGGAGTTTTATTTCCGCGGTCACCACCTCCTATTTCAAACTTTACACCTAAAAACGAAAAAATAGTAGGACTAAAAAATAGTTGGCCTTTGAACTTATATTTACCGGTAGAACTTTCCTCTGATTTTTCAGAAGTTCTTTCTTTCCACATTTCGATAATGGAACCACCAGTTAAAAGCCGAGTCCCTTCTAAGTTCCACGAGAGAGTGTAAACATGATAATTACATACAAAGGAGCCTGTCTGTACCCATCTAAAATAAAAAATATGCATATTACTCGCTTTTTTATTGAATACTAAAAAATATATAAAGGTTATGTAAATCTGTTTATAGTAAAATTTCCAACTAATTTAGTTTCCTAGAAATTGTTTGATATTTCTTTAGCAGTTTTAAAAGTTTGTGAATTGCTATGCGACTTAAAACCTAATTTTGTTGTTATTGACCGACAATGATTTCTTTTAAAGGGTGAAATTACGACGCCGCGACAAATTGGCGGAAAGCAGATGCACAGATATTTAAAATTAAATCAACCTAGTTAACTCCAATGAGATATACATATGTGATATAAACTCAACCAAGCAGGCTATTACAGATATGAAGTTTAGACCAAGGTCTAGACCAATTTCATTCCTATTCATCGCTGAATCACATAATTTTTAAGAAAATTTGTCCACTTAATTTCATAAAAATATTACACATACTGACCAACATAAAGAGTTTAATGTCAGGTCGAAAGTCGAAAATTATTATGTAGGTCTGCATTGATTGCATTAACTTTTGGCATTACTCACTCGAGAACTTATCTCCACGCAATTTTTTGAAGATAACACACACACTGGCCGACATAACGAAAACCATTATAAGTAGTAAAGGGAGTTCGTAGACCAATTTCACACTTTTCGGCATTAAACTATAGTACCATGTATCCAATATTATAAATACTGTATAAAACCAACCGAATTCTTATATTAGGTACATGGAGGTAGGGGAAGTATTGCCCCGATTTTATCCATTTTAGGAAAAAAGATGCACTGTTATTAGAAATAGACGCTCTCTGAATTTCAATAAGATAACTCACATATTGACCATAAGTACTGATATCTTAAAAATATTGTCTCCAATTAGTCTTGCCATAAATTCAGTTACAAAGTTTATAATTCATACTTTTGGGATATTTATTTTTTAACTAATCTCATTTTTTGAACTATACACACACACGTAAGCCTATTTTATATTAGGATGGCTGTTATCTTTTAGATGACGTTCGGTAAGGTTGTGTCTCTACAGTTGCCACATACCCACTGCTCACCCTTTTTGGGCAGCTTCACAAATTGCCTTTTAACCATGATGGAGGTTGGCTGTGCCAAGCCGCAGAGATATGGGGATGCATGGTTTCAGTTAAAATTTGTCGGCCATTAAGAGTTCAGATTGTATGTATACCATTCATACCCGTAGCTTAGTTTAGCTTTAGCTTCTTAATTGCCAAAAATAAATAATTTAATACTATAATTTAGAATTTGTAGCCTCGATTTTTATCTGAATCATACATGTTTATGTATACAAAATAAAATATATGTAATAAATAAAAGAATGTCAAATTCAAAAAATGTGTCTCAAATGTAAAGAATATTGTAACGGATTTCTCGAAAAATCGTCTACCTTGTAATTCAATCTTGAGTTCGATCACTTCAATAAAAGTCCAAATTTAATGGCTATACACTCATCTTTATTTCTAATCCAAAGTTTTGAAGGTTTAAAAACCTCGTTTTTTAACCATTTCTGGCTGGCAGAGGCGGTGATCGCTTTACATATGTAAGTGTAGACTTTATACAGAAGAAAAAATGTTCACTGTTGTTGCTGTAAGTGTGTTCAATAAGCAAAACGGCAAAAGTGTATTAGCCAGATGTTTAAGAAGAAAGTGGTAAAGCAGTTAAGCAATACTGTCTTCGATAGAGAGCATTGGATCTTCCAGCAAGTATTTATATGAGGTGTGTTCAAAAGAAAAGGTGAATTTTGAATTTTTTTGAAAAGTACTTATTTGTTCATCAATATCTATTTCGTAGCCTTCAAATTAATCGCCGTCGGATATAATAAACTTGTGCCAACGCTTTTTACAATCCTCGTAGCAATTCTAGAATGCCCTTTTCGGTATGGGCATCAGCTCTTTGTTCGATTCTGACTTAATCTCATCAATTGTGGCAAAACGTTTTCCTTTCATTGGTTTATTCATTTTTGGAAATAGCAAAAAAAGTCGCATGGTGCCAAATTTTTAATTTTCAGCAAACCTGACATCATTCAACAACTCCTGAGCGATACTAATGCGAGATTTCTTTCGCTCAAAATTTAGCAATTTCGGAACAAATTTCGCTGCCCAAAATATTCAAGAGAATTTAATGGCATGAGCCGATTAATATGACAACATCTTCAGCAACTTCCTTAATAGGGATTCGACGATTTTCAAGAACAATAATTTTTACTGTTTCGATGTTTCTTCGCTTGTTGACGGGGTTTGCACCTTTCGGATTCTCATGGTCATTAACATCTTCTGTGTCCGAATATAACAAAAACAAAATATCGAATATACACAGCCCGCGAAAAATCAAAATTCACCTTTTCCTTTGAATACATTTCGTACACTGTAAAGTGAAAGAATCACATGGAATTTTAAGTAGAAATACATGGGCAGTGGTTGTAGTCTAATTTCGCTCATTGTCACAGTGTGAATAAATTGATGCTAATTTACACAAAGCCATTCACCACCTTCACTTTACACCTGCCTTTAACACTTATTTCGGAATAAAGCAAAGATGTAAAGAATTTGATGAAAACAGTTTACAAATTTAAAATTTATTGAGATCTTTTAACGCATTTAAATTAAACTTTAACAAATTAAATTAAAGACTCCACAGAGAAAGAGTCGAAAATACGATGTTCACTTCGCAGGTTTACGATGACGGCGATCGATCGAAAAGTTGCGCGCACGAGCTTTCGTATCAAATGTTGACTTGGCGCTCAGGCCTGTTGACGAGACGGATGTGTTTAAGCGAATACAGGTAGCGGGTTGGATAGCGTTCGTAATGAATTTTGATCCTCTAATGTGGGGACCATCCTTTTTGTTGCTTGGCGGAGGGGGGGGTGTCGTCGTGTGGTGACATCTTGCTGAGTGTGCGCCAGCTTTTGCCGAGTAAAGTGGTGTGTTTAGTTACTGAGGCTTAGCTTATTTAAACAGAGTGTAACATAAAAATATCAGGATAATGCTATGCTCCAAATTTGGTTAAAATTGGTCAAATAGTTCCTGAGATATATGTAGGAGTTCACCTAAAGGACGGCTGTGCCTAGCCCCTTATCCAATTTCCACACCGGTTTCTATTAAGCATCATCTTGGCTATGAAGGCTTATTCTTCGGGTGAATTTATTTAGTAAGTTATCGAGCTTTTATGGGGTGGGCGTGGTTCCATCTATACTAATTTATAAAATTGTTTATTTGAATATTTTTTAAACATAGTTTTTGAGGATAAACGTCTTGTTTTTTATGATATTTGGATAAAAACACACATAAAACTCCGTACCTTTGTTTCTACTATGCTTCTTCTTTACTCTACCTTGAGTTTTTGTTGCTTTCTTGATTTATTGGTTGAACGATTTGCGTTTTGCTTTAATTGTCAATCAACAAACTCTGTTTTTTTCAACTCTTGAAGAAATAATATACAAAGGACTTCACTTTGTGAAAAAAAGCGATTGGTTGCTTTACGAGTAGTCGGCTTAAGAACTGCAAATGTTAGGCGAGCGCCAAAATAAAGACATCTAGTGAAAACTCTATAACCTTAAATTTAAGATGTTTTTCATTCCTAAGTTAACTCGGTAGAAGATCCATGATAACTTACTCACGATTCAACTGCTGTAGTACTACTGTAAAATATTTGTCAATGTACTTCAACATCATTGTTTTTGTCACAAATGTACTTGTTAGTTGTTGTCATTTAAATGATAAAAATTAAATAAATTCTGAATAAAATAAAATATTTAACAAAAACAAACATACGGTAAGCATTTTCGTATTTCTTTATGTATTTTATATATTTTCTACCAAAATCAAATCGCTTTGCGATGATTCTGCTTGACATCTTTTGACTCACATTTATAAATATTACTAGCTGACCCAGCAAATGTTGTATTGCCATATACGATATTTTTAGGAAATACTTTTAAAAATAACTAACTACATTTTCGACTCGAAACTTGCTATTCAAAATGGTGGCTTCTTAATTTTTTAATAACTAATATGGGCCATTGCCGTGGTCCTGGAACAACTGTTATATCTTTGAATTTAATTCATTGACGTCCACATTTTTGATGCCAAATCAATCTTTCTGCCAGCCAATGTTTATTTTGTATGTACATCGGAAAGTATATTTCCGATGAGAGTATTTTGTTAATTGATGATTGTGTAGAATTCGTCGGTAATTATATATATCCAATATTTTCATGTAATTTTTCATTGCCAATATATAAACAACTGTTTTGAGAAAGTGTCGGCACATGGATCTTGAAGCCCATGTTCACTGTCGATAGTAGTGGAAGAATTCGACAGTATCATACCTCATTTCACGATTTATATATGTGTTGATTAAATCAGATGCACTTCGATTTGGTGAACTCATATTGAATGGTTAGGAGGTCGATTCCAGAAGGGATCCCACTTGGACAGCTTAAGACGCCGGTCCGTTGTGATACCTACAAACTCCTATAATCTGGATCAAAAGACCTCAAGTCGACGAGACGCATTGTGCTGACTACAAACTTGTTAAGTCGGCCAATATCTATTTAGGATAAGTATTCGGGTCCGCCAAACGTGTGATTGCCGAGATATTTCAATCGCAGCCTAACGAAAGCCGGACATTGGAGGAGAAAGTGCCGGGATGATTCCACCTCGCCCTCCTCCATGCAACTTTGGCAACTAGCATCGGGTAATACACCAAGCCGTACCGCATGAGTGCCCATTGGACAGTGTCCAGTGAGAACTCCTACCATAGCGGCGAGATGCACTTTGCTCAGGGCGAGAAGTTCCCCGACTCCTGCGATCCACTCTTGGCCAGAAGGATCTCGCGGTCACACAGGAACTAGTCGCCGACCAGCGTCTGCTGAGTGCACGCGAGGTCCATTGATCCAACATTAGAGCGCAAGACGCTAACGGAGATCCAACCGATCCATTCCGATGTGAGCGGGCAAAGGTGCCCCCCTGGCTAGCTCAT